TTCATATTGATCTTGAAAAATTTTTTCAAAATGTTGAACATATTCTTTTCTCGCTTCACAAAGCTCTTCACCAAGTAAACCAAACGAACATTTATATGTGTGTTGTTCAGCACACATATTGAGAATTATTTTACATAATTCCATCTAAAGTTGAAACAACACAAAAACTAATTGAATATTTCAAAAACATACTTCCTGTTCAGGACGTAATTGCACTTGAGTTATTACCTTCACAAATTTGTCAAGAGCAATATTGGTCTGAAACATTGAACAGATTTGTTCACGTATTATTGCGAAATTTGTTTCTGGTTCGTTGATAATTGTTTGTTGTTTTTCTTCTAAAAGAAACATTTAAATTATTCATGAAACAAAAACTGAAGAAAAGTTATTAAGTCAGATAGCTATTGAGTGTTAACCCTTTGGGTCTCGGCGACGTACATATACGTCCTGGTATTTGTTCACTGTTGATGTATATCCCACATATTGGCTGATCCCTGCAGGATTATTTCCTCTTAGCTTATTATCATTTTTAGGATATTCCAGGATGGGAATATTCCTTCCCTTTATCACCTTCTATAGCACTATGACCTGTAAGGTTCTAAAGGTCATAATTTATCTCATTTCCCAACTTGTACATATCTTTTCTCTCTTTCTTTCTGTCATATAGCTCCCTTTTCTTCCTTCTACCTTCGGATATGACGTTAAATGTTTCCTTTGCTTATTTCACAAACATCCCGATCAAAACAGTCTCTAAGAAAAAAAAACACAGTTTGCACATCCCATAATGTTCGATGCGATACACAGTATATGTATGCTGACCCCAATGTGCCTCTATGTATTGTTGATTGCTTTAAATACTATCATACAAAAATGAACTACTAATGCTTCTCTGACACAGAAATGCGATTTCTTTCAAAAAATAGCTGAAAACCATATTTAAACATTTCTTATAAAAATTTGAGTTTTCGCAAAAAAAGCCGGGAGCCAAAGGGTTAAAAGGTTTGTAAATATCTATAGATGCATCGAACTCTGAACTTTTGGAATTCTATTCTTCTTTTATAATACAGACGAATGCAAGGGGAAGCAATTGCTTTCCCTACAGAAAATTAGGGGTAGCAATAAAGAATTATTGCTCCCCCTGGTATTCCCGCATTGTCGTAGTTGTGTAACGAAAATGTATGCGCTATGGACTTGTTTTATTTTTTCCTGAGGGTGCACTTTCATCATGTACATCTAAAATCGATTCTTGCTAAGAAATTTAAGATCGACTAGAATTACATAATTGAGCAAGAAAAAAGAAAATGAGTGTAATAAAAACAAATACACAAGAATTTAATTGAATTCGTCATGAAACTATGAATAATTGTGTAATCGATAACGTTGATGAGCCTGACCCAACCAGGGATAAAAATGGTAAAATGGCATTAAAATGCTCTCAAATCGACATAATTATAACGACGCAAAACTGTCACAAAAAATGCCTCCTTAGTGATCCATTAACATGGTGTTCTTTTTAACAGTGAAAATGGTTTTAAAATATGCTAAAATAATGCTTGTAACGCACACCCTTTTTTGGCATTATTTGTGACAGTTTCACATCGTTATAATTATGCCAATTTGAAAGCATTTTATTCCGGGGTGTCGGCTTAGTATTAACATTGCATTAACTTAATGCTAACAGCCGTACCTTTGTATAATGATCCTAAGACAAGTATTGCAATTTGTATTGATTAGTGTAATGCTAAAGCGAAGCTGGTGTCTTTGACTAATTTTTATGACTCTTGTGCTACGACTTTCTTCCAAAATCATTGTTGCTAGTATCTAGTTAATACAATTTGCATTAATTTGATATTAGTGACAATGCTTTTGTATTAAAATTATAACACAAAACTATTTCAATTAGTCAAAGATACCAGCTTCGCTTTAGCATTACATTAATCAACACAAATTGAAATACTTTTGTCTTAGGATCGTTATACAAAGGTACGGCTGTTAGCATTAAGTTAATGCAATGCTGATGCTAAGCCGACGCCCACAATTTTAATATCACATTATCATGTTTATCTCTGCTTCACTATTTGTTTTATCTTCTTTCCTATCATTTGATTTCTTCATATATATCTGGCTCGGTATATTCTCTAGATATCTCTGGTACTATTTGTAATATTTTTTAGGAAAAATTGATACTCCAATCTTGGCTTTACTCTTATAAAACTCAGCTGAAAATATTTGAATTTTCCTCGAACCTGAAATTGTCGCGTGTTGTATAGAAAGACACCTGCTACGTTTCACATGTCTTCTTTTTTTTCAGCATTGATCACGCTAATACTTGGATGAAAACTATTGAATTATCTAAAGAACAATGTAAATTACTCGTCAATATCGGTTATTTCTATTGTGATATATGACTCATAAACTTTAGATCAAATTGAGTGCAGAATATAAAATATTATTGTATTTTTACTCTTGTCATTTCGTGTTGTAATTTTCTAGTCTCATACTGATATCATGAGAAGAACGTTGCAAGTGATTCCTTGCATCAATTTTTTATAGATAAGGTTTGTATTAATGAGCTGTTTTAAACTATGTACGTTCACTTTTCTTGGACGGGATAACAACAGAATCAAATACTCAAAATGGTTATGAAAGGGTGTGGGTGTCGGTGTGAGGGTGGGTGTGTGGGTGGGTGTGGGTGTGCGGGTGGGTGTGGGTGTGTGGGTGGGTGTGAATGTGGATGGGGATCTTCTCTTCACCCACACCCACACCCTTTTCGCGTAATTCTCATCAGTTATTCAGTGCTTCTCAAGATCGATCAGTTAAAATTTAGAATTTAGATGAAATGTCTGATGTTGAAACATTGTAAGTTTAAAATAAAGTGAAGTTTCTCAGATATATGTAAATGTATTATTGAATAATAGCTTTAGTCATTAAGAACCAATACATGTAATTGATGCATTAATGTGTGAACGATATATAACTGCTGGTGGTCGTGATAGTTCATTGAGATTATGGAAAATTGTTGAAGAATCAATCACGTATTATATTTACTAGACATGAGTAAGTAAGAAATATTTTTTAGAAGAATTTATATTTATATTCTTTAATTTTGAAGAGGTTCAATTGATTGTGTAGCATTAATTAATGATGAACATATGGTATCTGGAGCAGATGATAGGTATGTCATTCAATAATGGAGAATTTATTATAATTCAAATTTTAAAAGAATAATTTATTTACTGTTCATCTCAATTAGAAGACTTACATGTATTTTCATTTTGAAGAATCTTCATAGAAATTAGATAAAGATCTGAAACTTTCATTATTAGAAAGAGCAAAGTGTAAAACATTAATCCATGTAAAACAATTAATTCAAACGACAAATATATAAATGAATATAGCTATTTATTAGATAAACATTATTATATAAAATCCAGGAATTATTTTTTTTGAAAATAAAAGTGGTCACAAGAACCATGGAATTAATTCACTACTGTATTTCATATCTGTGATTATTCCATAACTATTTTATAAAAATATTGTCGCATAAGTTCGATTGAAACATACTATCATCATTACCAGAAGATTTTTGGATAACATCATTAGCTTCAATTCATTATACAGATTTACTTGCATCCCGTTCATTTAATGAAAGTATTCATTTATAGAAATCAACATCAGAATTAATCACTTAACACCTCTGTTTACTTTACCACAAGTGATTTTTTGAAATTTTTCTTTTTTATTTAATATTTAATTATTTAAAAATTAATTAAATTGCTTTTATTATTGATCTTAAAATTTCATGGACAAAGCAAGAATGTATCAGGTCCTACTGATTCAAATAGAGGTAAAAAATAGCGAACAGTCGCAAATATTATAGATGAAACATCGGAATCTCACTATCAATCTAAACTCGAGAATTATTGTAACACAATTTACCATCTAAACGGAATTTTTTTTTGTTGCAGGTGAAAATAATAATAATTCGAATGATGATTCAGACTTTGAACAAATAAAATACATTTATAGTTTTCATAATGATTCCAATCAACTTATTTGACTTTTATTCCAGCACCAATTTATTCGAATATATAAAAATATTAAAAAATATGGCTTATCTTCAAATAGAGATTCACAAAATTTTCTTCAACATCTCGAGTTACTTTGTGAAGTAACATATAAGTATTTATTTCCTTGGTCTATACAATTCGAAATAAAAACAAAAATATTTCTTTTTATTTTAAATTTATTCAAAAAAAAATTTTAGGACTTTCTTATAATCGAATATATTAGTAAAAAAGCACCGATAATTAAATTCATTAATGAATTAATTACAAACTTAGAATTTAATTCACGTCAATGTCTTGAAAATTTTTTCGAAACAATAGAATTAATTATTTTTTTAATAAAAAAGATTTTATTTAGTATAATAACCGTAGATAAAGAATATTAAAAATGATTTAACGATCAACTTCACGTATTTTGATCAGATATTCAACAACATCTATCAAATATGCCTGATGAAGTTGGTCATCATCTCGATCATTAAACATGATTTTACTCTTTTACTGGATTTTTTTATTTTTTGCTCTTCAATCATACGTACTCAAAAAAATCTTCTTTATCTTTGTCTAAACGACTATTGAAATGTAACATTAAATCTTATTGTAAATTGACAAAATCAACGACATATTATGTGTACTGATCGATCTGTTTTTTTTTGTATTATCTGTTCTACTATTCTCTATAGATGATCTCTTCCAAGGATGTAGCTCTATGTTTTAAATAATATCTTGTTAGATGTTTCTATTCTGGCGTATTTCTATATCTCTTATTTCTTATTTTTTTCCTCATTCAAATGTTCATTCATTGTACTGTAAGAATCTAAAGCCCAGTCAAACGTGAAAGTTTAAAAACCGCGTGTATTTGCAAGAAATTTTTAAAACATGCATTTATTTGCAAAAAAATTTTAATTCATCTTATTTCATGCGCGATCTTGTAAGGCATTTGAAATATTTGCAATTTTTTGCGTATAAATGCGGGTCAACAATACATGCATCTCTATGCATGTCTTCAACACATGTATGCAAATACGAATTTTTAAGTTTTTCAGTAAAACATGCGAGAGCATGCATGACTCTGACGTTTTCAAATATTTGCATGTGCTGACTCTTGTATGCTCATGCGAGATATGACTCGGGTGGGAATGCCAAAGTAATAGTTGTGTGTACCCGCAAGATGGTCAAACTTTCTCCGAAACTTGCATGTCAATGCAAAAAGGTCCTATTTATGAAAATTAATAGTGAATCGATTCTGCGTTGACATGCAAAATTTGACTATTTTGTAGTGTACATGCTGTTCTATGCAAGAGTTTTGTTTTTTCGTCGAAGTGTATTTATTTATTTCTCGTAAAAATGGAATCGCTCTTCTATTATTATACTATATTAGATAAAAAAACTCGTTCATTTTTTCAAATTCTTGATAATTGTTAGCATTCATGTGCACGCGTGTTCGAAAGTTATCGGATAATCATTATCTCATTCAGTTTTCATTGTATTTTTAATGCAAGTAGATGGCCGAATGGTAAAGAAGTTCGTCTTATAAAAGAAAGTATGTATGTTCGAATCTTAGCTCTGGAAAAAAAAATGTACGTGTTCATGCATGTCTATGATATATGCTTTGTTTTTTGGCCATTATAATATTACCTTGCATGCACACGCAAGGGGTTTCTAAAAAACACTTGTATATGGTCCCGCGTATGGAAATATTAAGCGTGTACATGCGGAAACTTTCATGCGCGGACTCGCGAATATAGTTTGGTCTCTAACGCGTTCGCACGTATGCCGTGCCATAACTATGCATGTGCACGTACCAATAATGTTGCGTCTACACGCGTTTCTTAAGCTTTCGTGTTTGATGAAAAACAAGTTGGGAACACATTTGAACTTAATTTAAACATGACACCATCTGTTAAAATGTATTTGATATATGATAAATACATTTTTATATTATCAAAAATTGACCATGCAAATTTTATTCGGTTATGAATGAAAGAAAAATTTAAGACAGAAAGAAAAATAGCATCAGACGTGAAAAAATAGCATCAGGCAGAAAGAAAAATAACATCAGACATTCATTATCACATAACATGACTATATCAGTATTATTTTTATGGACGGCAGCGAAATAAAATAGCATAGTATTGTATATATAAATTGGAAAAAGATGAGAATAACTGAATTGAAAAATAATCATAGAGTATGAAATGAATATTGTAAATAGCAACAATATTAATATATTGGATCTGGCAGATGAATTATTATATGTTATTTTCAATAAATTAAATATGATGGATATGTTTTATTCATTAGTAGATGTGAATCAACGATTTAATCGATTAGCATTCGATTCTCTTTGTATTCATCATCTTAATTTTGCTATCAAACATTTCGATATTCATCAGTATGCGACATACAATGATATTCTCGATAGAATTTGTTCAAAAATTTTACCTCGAATTAATGATAAAGTAAATAAATTGACTGTTGATCCACTTTCTATGGAACAAATTCTTTGTGCTGTTCATTATCCTCAACTACATTCATTATCA